AGGCATCAGCTTATCATCAGGTGTTTTCTGGAGCAGGACAAGGGGAGCCATCAAGTACTGCTGCTTCTCATTGATCATATTTGCTTTCAGTCCATCCAAACGTTTGTAGTCTAACAGGAATATGTTGCCATTCTGTTTTAAATTTGAGTGAGGATGACACACAACCAAACATGTGAAGAACAAAATGTCATTCGAAATTCAAAACATGGCTCTAAACTAAATTCTGGTAAAGATAATCACCTTCATTTCATCTGCCAAACGACTCTGGCCATCAGGGAAGAGCATGTCATCAGTGACAGGAAAGTTTTCGGGCAGAGCTGTACAACGTCGGATCAACATGGGGTTGATACCATTTAGGTACTGGTAGCCAAAGAAAGTGTCCTCCTTCCAATGTTCCTGTACATATTCTGAAAAAACAAACAGTTTTGATTTTATTGTGTTTCAGACTTTGGCCTAGAAACTGAGACTGCAGTAGCACTGTATTCAGCTTAACTGTACTTTGCTTCTGAAATTGGTAAATGGGAAACATTGTGTTACACCTGAGTTATAATTGTTTTAAAATCAGTTATCAGTAAAAAGTCTTCATTGTATTAATTCAGTTGCAAAGTAAATTAAAGGTAAAGGAAACGTGTAGACGACATTATTAGATACGTTTTCAGGATTTCAGTAGAATCTAATGTATTATCTCAGGAATAACAACTGCAGTGATTTTTATTTAAGCATACAGTATGAGATTGTACCTGATATGTCAGTCCGCTTGTTGCAGAAGACACGGTTGAGATCATCCAAATTAGCCCAGCTCTTCTTGGAATCAGAGAGCCCCTTTAGTCCCAACTCAGACAGCCTAGAAAATAAATGCAATTAGTAACTTTATCAGATACCCTACATTGATTTGAGGCAGCTACAAAGTTATATTGATACTTTGATATCTGACATAATTTCAGGACCTCACCCAGTTAATGCTGTGAATCCAAACTCTGTGCTCTTGGTGAAGGAGAAGCGGACCTCACAAGGCAGAGAAAGAGGACCTTCTACCTTCATGTTGTGGGGTATTCCCTCTGCATACACATCCCAGCTGGGAGTAATAGAGAGAAGCAGAGAGGTGAGGAATTGTTGACAGTCTAGATAGTAATTTAGAGTACACAGGCACTTGACAAGTATTCAATATTGCAACATATTGAGGTTTATTACATTACATAAAGCTTTGCAAGTGTCACATTTTTGAAAAGATTTCGGGATGCATGAAGTTAAAATGTGTACAACCTCTGAGTGGCGCTCACCGATAGTCTTTCTCTCGCTGTTTCAGCGCCTGCTCCCGACTGTACTTGCCAAGATGATGGCTGTCTTCAAACACTCTCAGAGCTTAAGGAAAGAATCACAGGTTCCAAACTGTTGATATGTACAGTATTTTGTCACAAATGTACTTCAACCTCCTTATAGTATGACTTGCAGAACGTGTATTCATTGGTCTGTGAACATTGTACCAAATGTCAGACAAGCAAATGGCCAAATACCTGTTCCTTCTCTGAAGCGTTCGACCTCGCTGTCTATGATCCAGCGGTAGATGGGAAAGTTGTAAGTGTCTCCCTCAGGAGATTCCACTTCAACTTTGGCAGGGAACCAACTGTCTTGAGGGATCAGTGGCAAACCCTGTTTGTCGAGCTCTATCAGAATCAGCTTTCCAATAGAGACACGACAGGACACGTTAAAACTGGAAGCCTGGAGTAATGACAGAATTAACATGTTTTGAGTCACATCAGCTTAACCTAATTGATAGGTAATATCCCTATATAATCCCAAAACTAGAAGCAAAGTTCAGTAACAGTGTTATATTTTTAGAGAGTATGTCTGACTTACTTGTCCAGCGGTGAAAGCTAATGGCCCGGTGAAGTTGCAGAGCCATGTGCGATCACTTTCCCCATCTGTGCCCACCAGCTTAATAAAGATGATGTTCATAGTTGTGCCATTGAGAAGTCCGGAAGTGGAAACAGTCACTTTATAATTCACCATTTTGACTGTGAAAAAGAAGAAGAATCCTGTTGAGGAGGGAGTTATAAAATACATCCTCAGCAATGATTGGGAAATATTTTGAATGTGAATTTTCAATTTCATAAGCATCTCTCTTACCTGTTCTGATTTCCTTTGAACTGACATGAATGGTGAAAGTAACAACCACTGATTCCACTTTTATACATACACCTTTTGGGTGTATCCAATCGGTAAACACAATCTCAGATGATGGAATGCTAAACATGTATGAGCAGGTTTTACAGTTGGGTAAAAATGGGATGTGTCCCATTACTTCATCATTACATACACATAAACCTTTTACTGTTAAATGTAAGAACATCCAGTCAACTACAAATACATGTAACATGTACCATTCTATACCATTGCAAATGCATTCGGACAATTCAATGGCAAGGAAACAAGGTGAATGTAAAAGCCAATTGTATGATAACTAAATGCACAATTAAAAAAAGAATATATATATTATACATCTTTCAAACACAAACATGTAATGCAATATAGTGCATCAGCTCTTCCATACACTTTAACCTTTTCATAAATGTTATGATGTTTTTTGAAATAAAGTTAGAGACAAACCGGGTGTCCTCGCTGTCTGTGATCCAGCGGTAGATGGGAAAGTTGTAAATTTCTCCATCAGGAGATTCCACTTTAACCTTCGCATGGAACCAATCGTCTTCAGGGAACAGTGGGAGAAGCTTTTTGTCGAGCTCTTTCAGAATCAGCTTTCCAACAGAGACAGGACAAAAATAATTATTATACAGTACATTCATTTAACTGATTTGAAGTGATTTCTAATAGTTGTATTCAATCATATGCATACAACTAAAATAGTAAGTACATCAATGCTATCAATAACAATAGGAAGATTCTGAATAAAGCAACGGTTAAAATCAGTTTACCTAAATTGAAATTGAAAGTCCAATATAATAAACTATATGCAGTTTTAGATGTATAATTTTTGGAAATATTTATCCAAACATTCTTGTCCAGCGATGAAAGCTGATGAAGCCAGGTGAAGTTATAGAGCCTGGACGTCTTTTATACATGAATATGTGTCCCCGGTGTCAGGGAACTCACCAAGTGTCAGAAAACACAACCCTCTCTATTTTCCTCCATACCTTTTGGGTGTATCCAGTCAGTTACATGGTAAAATGTCTTCTCTGATGATTAAAACCTATGCATGAATCAGTGTTGTGTCACAAATACTATGGTCTGAAAATACCCCACTACAAGCAAAGTCCTGATTTCAAAATGTAACTTGAGTAAACGTACAAGCATCAAAAGGTACTTAAAGTACAAAATTAAAAGTAGTCATTATGTAAAATACTCAATTTCAGAGTATCATAATGCAGAATGGATCTTTTCACAGCGTTATATTAATAGGGTCAAATGACTTTGTTTGCATATAAGAGTATTTTAGCATTTGAGTTTGTCCATGTAAACCACATTTATAGTAGATACTAGAATACTTTGTAGCAGTACAGTACTGCATTATTCCATATCAGCATATCATGAAAACTCTTTGTTTGTCAGATAGTTTAATTATAGACAACTGTAACATAATAGTAACACATGTTCTATAAGATGACACATACATACAGACAATTCAATGGCAAGGAAACAAGGTGAATGAAAACTGTAAGGTTGTCTTATTTTTCAAAGACAACCTTACAGTTAACTGGAAACACCTTTACAATATATTGCGACAGCTCACAAATTCTAACCTTACAGCGTTTGTAATATTTGACATGGTCAAAAATGTGTTTATTTGATTATTATTGAAGATAAAGTTAAAGGTCATGTTGTACTGTTTTTTAAGATATTTAAATGTAAGCACATTTTTGAACACAAGCACCAATTAAAGCTTAGTGGTTGCTAAAACATTTAACATATCCGCCTCTCTCGCAGTGTCAAAAAATTCAAAATTATTATAAAAGCAGACTTAATGGCAGTTTCCTAGATCAACTGGCTCAGAAGAGACATCAAGATATGCATATCGGACACAGATGGCTCAATTTATTAGTCAAAAGCTATTGTACAAAGGAATTGTTTCAGAAATAAAAATGGATTGATCATTCTTGTTAGGAGACAGAAAATAAAAACAACATTTGGTGATGACAGTGGATTAGGAGGGGGGATTCTTCAATGCAGTTTTTCAGTTAAACTTGAATGTGTGTTTTTGTTTGCTTCAATAACAGCTCACACACAATATACAGTCTTTCCACTCGTCCCGTTGTGAAGCTGAGGTTCGAGGTCAGATCATAGGGGAGGGGACCGTCAGCAGTCCAGTGGGCTTCAGCTTGTTGATCCCTCCATCGAGGAAACAAACTCGTGGGAAGTTGACCTTGACCAGGTGTGCTGCAAACTGCAAAGAAACGAAAAAAAGGGTTATGTGAGTTATTATTCCCCCCTCCCAGCATTGCAAATTCCCGTAACCTAACATAATCTCCACATCACCGGTGGCTTCCTTGTCTTATCACTCCGCACACTTGCCACGTACTATATGAAGAATCAGATCTGAAGAACAGCCCTTCAAACAAGATGAAACACCCTAAAGTGTTTTGAGTAACACATTGTTCAAGATGTCAGGGATGTTGCAACAGATTTTAACTTTACAAGGAAAAAATAAGTTGTATGAACTGGCCCAGCCCTAAGAAGGAGAAATAAAGAAACATCTATATCTGATTAAGTCATACACACAACAAAAGAACTAAGAATCTCAGTTGTGAACTTTGCAACTATTTTGTATCTATTAAAGCCGGATTAATCAGTTAACATTATTTTTCAGAGGTTCAATAAAATACTTTTCACCATATTTAAATTCAAGTGGTCTGAGAGAAGACTGGCTCTGCTTCCAGGCTTTAGAAAATCTAGCCCCATTCAGTCCTATGAATGTTTGCGACTGCTGAGTATAATGATACCCGGCTAGAAAATAATTCAATCATGCGGCTCTTCAAGACTTTCTGATATCGATATCAGCGTTTTGATAGTGAATCAAGTCATTTTGCAGGAGCTGTGACGCAAAAATATATATACTTGGATTAACTAAGAGAAATACTTTTTTTTGGGCCCAATGGCATCACTTGACAGACCATGAAGTTGTAATTACACCCTTACATAGGGTTGTGTTATTTCACATGAAAGGTGTAACTCCCGTGGAGATCAGAATATCTTTTCACACATTCCAGTGAGAATTAAACATGTTTTTCCAAAAAAACATGACCTCATGCGACAACTGCTCTTGTGGAAATCACTTACAGACGATGAGATCAGGCTGATGAACAGAGCGGTGTTAAAGAAAGTATAATAATAAAATAATGAGGTCTGCTTTCACAACCCTGACCAAATAAAGGGATTTAACATTCCATTACAAATCTCTAAAAGAGAGGACTGAAAGCCAACTGCCTTTAAGTGGTATCTACTGTTACTGTAAAACTATATTCCCCAGCTGTTAATATTGCCAGGTGTGCCCACATACTTTAAGCATACTGTCCGCTCTCAATTAAGCTTTAATTACACGGTTTGATCAAATAATTCAACCTTTTGAGCATTAACTCTTGGCTACCACTTGAATTACAATATACCGTAGAGTTATAATGTATTGCATTATCAAACATTTTATGAGATGACCTCTCTGCAACACGTTAAAAAAAAAGGGGTTTTGGCTGATTACATCTCTGTTCAGGGTGGTGTGAGCTATGCTTGGAATTACGCAAGGTCAATGAACTAATTTTTCCAAGAGAAAAAAACGATGAGTAATGGAAATGTCAGTACATGTGAATACAGTACAGGAAAGAGATGTAATCTAAGCAAAGACGCAGGTTAACCCGGTGTACATTGATTAAAAATATAGCGCCCTAAATGCCCTTTATTATGGCCCGTCCACACAGCGGCGTGCGTTGAAAGCTTCACCATTCACTTTGAATGGGGTGACGTCACTTTTCGCCGAACTGCATTGTGGGAAGCGACGCGGAGCTTTGCTGGCGTGGCTCGCTGCAAAAGTTGAGCAATGTTCAACTTTTGAAGCCTCGGCAGAAGCGTCAGCCAATCGAATCATATGCCAGTACAAGCTCTAGCCAATCAAACCGCTGCTTGTGTGTCAGGGGCGGGAGATTCATGTGATTGGTTGTTGTTTGCACGCTTCAACGTACGCCGCCGTGTGGACGGGCCGTTAATGATTACAAATAATTAAGATTTCAAGAAGTGATAAAAAAACACAATTATTCAGTTCTACCTTTGTTTATGTGACTTTTGACTGAGATCTGCAAATGTGAGTGGCAATAACACTCTGTCTGTGACTTGAGGTTGTTTTTGCTCTGAAAGCCATGCTGTCCAATAAGAAATCACAAAAGCCATTGACTCAGTCATTCATGTCATTCATGTGTCATTGACTGTGTGGCTTTCACACTCAGAGCAGTTTTGCAATACAGTTTAAGATGCAATCATCTGAAATGTCCAAATAAAAACGTAGCATTAAGAACGAGGCCTATGTTTGAATGCCAATAGGCTTTAAATGTCAAAGGTGTACAGTAAAGCCTAAGCACATGAAGAGAGGACTCACTGCTTTGCCCCAGAGCTAATGATAATGCCACTGGTGCGGCACACAGAGATGTGGATGGCATTTAAGCACAATTGAGTCATTTTATTGACCTTTCATTTTGTACGACTGTAAGATCTGATGAAATACCGAGGACAAAACTCAGAGGTGGAAATTCAAGTGTGGGGTTGGTCAGGCCTGGACTTCTGTAAGGGGATGAATAGTCATCATACTCTCCTGTTTGATGATGAAGATGATAATTTATCAACATACTTACTGTCAATAAAGTCAGACTGAAGCACTCCTTTGTGCACCAGTCAATCCTAACAGTAAATAAATACAGAGCTAAAGCCTACATCAAATGCACGACAAAGGGTCTTTGAGCATGTTTTCTCTCAATGATTGTGATATTAAATGTTTGGTCATGTATTGTGTCTTGATATTTGTCTATGTTGATGTTACACATGGAGCTGCTGTGATGCAAGTCAAATTTCAGACTTGATCTGACCATTAAAGTATTATTGTATCGTAAAACAATATGATGCCGATAATGATGAACCACCATTAATAGTGCCTGTGTTACAACACTGAGTTCAGTCCCTCTGCGGATGAGTTACTACATTACTTGGCTTGGCAACTGGAAGGTCACCAGTTCAAGTCCCGGAAAGACCAAGTGCTACTGAGGTGTCCCTGAGCAAGGCACCGTTCCCTAAGCTGGTCCCCGGGCGCCGTACATAATGGCAGCCCACTGCTCTTAACACTAGGATGGGTCAAATGCAGAGAAACCGTTTCGTTATATAGTACCTGTACTACGTAATGACAATAAGTTGAATCTTCTTCTTCTTCTTCTTCTTCTTGTTGGAACCAGGTTAGTAACATATCTCTCTGCTGCTCTCTTTCAAAAAGCATGACTGTCTCTTTAATTAAGCAGAACTACTTATTTTCCTCTCAAACTTTCTAACATATGGAAGGAGGACATCTTTTCTAAATTGAGATGTTGCCTGAAGCAATATTCATGCTGAGTTTTAAATGTAAGTTTGGCTAATTTATTCCAAAGAGAGCAGAAAAGAAGAATGAATAATGATCAATATAAAGCAGAAAATCGCTGAAATCATGTTATTTTTGAGCATTGAAATTTCAAAGACAACGATTTATGTAAAATACAGTTTTAGCCACGACTTAGGTCCTAGTATCTTTTAGAAAAGAGGCATCAACACAGCAGGTTTTGATTATACATCAGACCTATAATATTACTCGACTACAGTTTTATACCCAACCGGAACTCATTCAGAGAAGCTGTTTCCAGTCTTTCAAGATGCACAAAGATGTATCGCTACATCAGGATTTAAAGATTTTTTTTCCAATTTGCTCTGGATTTGACAATAAAGATGTCTGGACACGGGGATTTAGTGTCGTAGCAAAAATGTTAACTGTATGTTTACAAGACTAGGGCCTCTATTTTCATGGTACAGCAATGACAGTGTGGTGTTTTCCTGACATTTACATGAACCTATCTTGTCTGTGGGGTATTTTGTTTCCTGCTTAGCCAACAAAAAAGGCCATAACGTTAAAAAATGTAAATACTCTCCATGCTTTCAAACCGGTAAAAGTCGGCTGCCTTAAAGTGCAAGTGAAGCTGCTTTATTTCACTTCATTAAATCCCTGCAGAAGTCTTAAGGCAGCAGCACGGACATGTTGACAAAATCTGCAGCCTCTGATTGGAGAAGTTACACACCAGAACACAGTGCCATTATACATGGACACCCACTGTGTTTACCCACATTATATTACATTCAAATGACACCAGGATATTGCGAAATATCCCCAGCCTCTTAACACACACCACACGGTCCATTTTAACTTGGTATACTGCCCATACACGCGGAGAAGAAAGATTACTGCGCCTCTTTAATCTGTTGCTTCTCAGCCGTCTTTCAAACTTAGAATAAATATATATGTCATGTTAACGTCTTGAAATTAATTGCATCAGAAACTGTGTGTAACATTTTAGGGTGTAACCATTTGCAAAGTGAAATACAGAATGATGAAGTCTGCCTGATGTGTTCCCAATTTAAAGACACGACCAAATATAATTTACTCAGAAGAAGAGGATCAAACCGTGAACCTCATTTATCATGTACATCATTACTATTCCCTTTGGCTTTAAACTTGACTCACACTGTATCATTGTTGCTTTCTGTCTGTGGCTGACAGCCCAATTACAGACTATCCCCAATGAATGAAGTTAACAGGCAACGTTTCTGGGTATTTAAGGAATAATCAACAACGTAATAGTAGCGTTGGATTACTATGAATATGTGATTGACGCGTCACTTCGTAAACTAAAGTCTCCTGTGTTCTGCAGTTTTCATTCGCCTTGTGACCAGAAATAGGTATTGCCAAAAAAAAACGATTTACAAAACATTAGAATACAAATTATAAAAACGAAATAAAAACTTTGTTGAAAAACTGTTTAAGTGTTATTTTAAAGGTGGGGTAGGTACGTTTGAGAAACCGGCTCGAGATACACTTTTTGTTATATTCCATGGAATGCTCTTAACATCCCGATAGCAATGAATATCTGAAGTGCACAC